GCCAAAATTACATAAAAATTCTGGGTGGCAAGTGCCAAAATTACATAAAATAACTGGATGGCACTTGTCCTTGGTGGCAATTTTCCGTATGTATTGGCATAGTAAATTGTAACTGGATGTGGCAATTGTGGCACTTGTCAGGTGGTGGCAATTGTCCAGTGGCAGTTGTATGGGTGGCAATTGTCCGTGGTGGCATTGTATAGGTGGCAGTTGTATGGGTGGCAGTTGTAAATGTATGGGTGGCACTTGTCAGGTGGCAGTTGTATGGGTGGCACTTGTCAGGTGGCAGATGTATGGGTGGCAATTGTCCGGTGGCAGTTGTATAGGTGGCAATTGTCCGGTGGCAGTTGTATGGGTGGTAATTGTCCGGTGGCAGTTGTATGGGTGGCACTTGTCAGGTGGCAGATGTATGGGTGGCAATTGTTTGGTGGCAGTTGTATAGGTGGCAATTGTCCGGGTGGTAATTGTCCTACTCCCCTACTTCCATAGATCGGTGCTCATGATGTCAGTCACTGTATTGTCTAGTGTGACAATTATTTACAGACTGCCATTACATAGACGGAACATTGCTGAGTGCGACATTAAGCCACAAACAAATAATGCAAATAACCTGCCTCTGGCATTGAGACTGAGAAACAGAAGTGAGCTGTTGTAATCAGTTTTTTCCTGAAAGTAAACTTACATTATATATTTACTGTAAGGAATGAGGTGACAAAAATACTTGCTGGCTTGCCAAAAATATTGAACTGAATATTCTTATGTATTTAACACTATCCAAATTCAGTATGTTGAAATATAATTAAAATAGTCATTATAAATAGTGATGATCCTCTTTGCAGTGTGTGTGTGTGTGTGTGTGTGTGTGTGTGTGTGTGTGTGTGTGTGTGTGCCCACTGCCCACGCTTTTCACCAAGTCCACAAATGTCACTCACTCACTTGATTGTAGTGTACTGTAGTGATGTAACATTGCATTGAACTATCAAAGGATTGCAATTGTTGCGTCTTTCACAGCAGTTAAATGATGGTGGAAATGAAAAACTATTGATAGTATGTGTGACTGTCGATAGTATTGACTTCCATTGATAAATGTGCAGCGCAATATACAGGAAGTTCGTTTTGATTTAGAGTTATCTACCCCTGTTACCTCTTAAACTAACATGGCGGCAAACACAGCATGCAACTCTGAGTTTGAAATTGTGAATAACAATAAGTTTATGTTTACTTGATCTGCGTTTCAAGTTTCTTGTTAGTTATTAAAAGAGACTGAAACTACTTCAACTTGTTTTTATTTCATATAAACTATACATTCATTTGGGAAATGACTTTCTATAAACTATACAGGGGAAAAAACTGAGACATTGCAGTAGTAGTATTGAATAGTTGGTCTAATAGACTCTCGCTATCGCAATAATATGTCCCCATAGACTATCCCTATCACAATAGTTGCTTCCCCCTCAATAGTCACCAACAGTGTACAGTGTTAGTGGAATTCTGCCTATAAATTTGAAACATGATATTATAAAAGAAATCTAAGAAACTGAGTGTTTGACCAAACATCTGCAGATACTTAGCCTGATACATAGAGAATCTCACCCAAGTGTCTTCTGATATCAATTATATCAACATGAGTTGATAAAGTTACAAATATCCGAGGCTTGCCGAGGATATTTTTACTTTATCAACGAGTGTGAGATTCTATTTATCATCCAAAATCACTCTTCATTAATTTTCAATGAAAATTGTACATCTCTGAACATGGTACTGCCATTAGACTTGCAGTGCAGCGGTGTCATAGCATTGTGACGTCATCAAGTACATGACGTCATAGCATTGTCAGGGCATTGTACAAAATCTACTGTCAAAACGATATCTCCTAGGAGATATCGTTTGATCTCACACAAGCGATATCTCCTGTGGAACACAGTTTTGGATGATAAATATAAGCTACAAGGGAATTGATTGCTGAGTGGGTCATTAACCACCACTTACAAGGAACTGTGTGTGCAGGTCACCAAAGATGTTCATTGTGTAGAACTTCAGGCAAATAGTTTCTGCAACAGCCAAATATGAGCTGCACATTTTAATCCTGTAATATCCCATGTCTCCCTAATGCGACCCAGATATTACCCAACTCCTCACACAGGTGTGCCATACAGGTGTGATGTACAGGTGTGATGTACAGGTGTTGTATACAGGTGTCTCATACTCAATCTCAGTTTCTGGGAATGAAGAATAAAGACTGTGTTGACTGATATGTTGACTGGAAATATCTTTTCCACCCGGTGTAATCATTCTGGTGATGGAGAGGGTTAACAATATCTTTTACAGTTTCAGTGGGATAGCTGTTTTTTTCTGTGACAAACGGACAAACACAGTTCTGAACAGAGTTCTGAATCGTTAGGGGCGGTGGGGTAGCCTAGTGGTTAAAGCGTTGGCTCGTCACGCCGAAGACCCGGGTTCGAATCCCCACATGGGCACAATGTGTGAAACCCATTTCTGGTGTCCCCACCGTGATGTTGCTGGAATATTGCTAAAAGCGGCGTAAAACCAAACTCAGTCAGTCAGTCAGTCTGAATCTTTAGCCTGGTGTGTGCATATTGTCATGTTTCAATCAGTAAAATGGGCAATAAACTGAAGAGAAGAGGGGATTTGTAGATTGTGTGTCCAGCAATTATACTTTTGATGAATTCATCTTGACCTTGACATATGTTTATAGCTATCCAACTCCATGTGTATTCCAAAAGGGGCGGTGGGGTAGCCTTGTGGTTAAAGTGTTTGCTTGTCACACAGAGATCCAGGTTCGATTCCCCACATGGGTGTAATGCGTGTCAAGCCCATTTTGGGTGTCCCCTGCCATGATGTTGCTGAAATATTGCTAAAAACAGCAAACTTAACTCACTCACCCTATATTCCAAACTGTGAAGTGGACTTGACACTTACCGGGAGTAGACATACTGACAGGCAGGAGAATGAATATACTTGAAAATTGGATTTGACAAGAAACATACTTATGTTATGAAAATGTTACTTGACTGAAAACAGTTACAAGCTCTGCAAATGCAAGTTTCAGAACACAACTATAATTCCCGAATCAAATACATGATCACCGAATATCCATTTCCAGCTTGCTCGCCACATTCAAACATGGATGTTCTTTCACCTGGCAGTTAATTTTAACTTCCTGGCCGAATTACTTCTGATGATGTAACATGCAAACTTCTACTGGAATGCAGGAGTCTGCAACATAAGTCCATTCAGATTCTACATCCATGTTATTTCAGCATACTAGCAGAGAACCAGACTGACTGACAACCAAAATAAACTCACTTCAGCGAAAAACTACTTCCTCAATTAGGGGAAATGTCATCAAGACATTAGTTAGTTAAGTCTCTTCTTACTGATGTTGATTATAAATGTCATACATGAGTGGTGGTATTTTCTGAATTATACCGTAAAACAACATGTGCTTGCACTCTCATTCACTCACTCCCTTGAGCGAATGCTTTAACCACAAGACTAATCCACCACCCCTCACTCAGTGGAGACACTGTTTTATTTTTTACTGAATTCCTACATAAAACAGCATCCACTCACTCATCACTCCTCACATCACTCACTCAACTCACTCACTCACTCACACTCACTCCACTCCTCACTCACTCACTCACTCACTCACTCACTCACTCACCCACCCACCCAGCAGTGTCTCACTGGAAGCAGTGTCTGCCTGTAAATGATGAGTGCGTGTCTACAGTCAACAAGGTACCTGACCAGCAAGGTGATACCTGATACTGTTATGGTTTACCAGAAATAATACTGAAGGTCTTGTATTTACCAGTGTATATTTGTTCCTTGCTTCACATTTCCCATAGCTTTCATCAACTCATCATCTCAGGGAATTGATTTCAAGTCTGCTATCAACAGCGTTTCAGTTATATCATTACTTGTGAGCTTTGTGGTGGGGAAAAACCATCATAATGCAGGTGCAATATGTTTGTATTTATGATATGATGGTGACAGATCAAGGTTAATTATCTTGAATTCCTACCAATTTTTGATGGCCTTGGACCACTTGGCTACATGTAGGCTGATGTGTGGAGCTCGGTGCTGGTTTTCCCCAGTGATATTGATGTGATATTTGCTGTGATCTGAGTTACTCACTCATGCTACAGGGATGTTATTTGATGATAATAATAGTGTTCCAAAACAAATCATTACCATATGTTAGTGAGAGACTTTACCCAAAGAAAATATAATTACTGTTTATGTTGGAATAATGGATGTGATATGAAGGTAAGAGCAGCTTGAACCTTAGGCTTGCACAAGTCTCTAAGTTAAAAATAATAGTTAAAAGATAATTTCTAAAAAAATAATAAATAACAGACTGGGGGTACTGTCCGCTTGTTTAGACTTGCCTCTTTGAAGGATAGAATTACTGTACATCTGTTGGCTCAGCATTCAGTACAGCCTTGGAGCAAGGCTACTTCAACCTGTGAGAGGTGTTATCATCATTTGTTGATACTGTGCATGTATGAGTAAGTGAGTGTGTGAGTGAGTGAGCTGGGTTTGTTTCCACTTTGAACTGTATTCCATTTGTTTAACTGTGTCAGCTGAATGTGGGAAGACAGGGATGCAGGTCTCCGACCACTTCTGTGGTGACAGACCTGGAACTGTAACCAGGGAAACCAGGATTGAACCCATGAACCATAGGTTTCTGGAGTGTCCACTGATTCAACTCTGCACAGAAAACTGAGGTGTCACAAATGATGGGGATATCTGTGCCTCTAATGGTTCAGTCAATTTTAGATGTTTCAAGCCACTGTTTAGCAGTATCTTGTGCCACATGGGCACACTATTAGGGATTGAACCAGATTATTTATCATTGTGGTGCACATATGGTTTTACACTGACATATCTAAAAATGGTACAATTGTTTGGAATCTCAATTTTCAGCTTAACTGCTTCTTTAATAATATATTTGATGTCTTCCTGTGTTACAGAAAATTTGGACAAGCCATTCAAACAGAGAGCAAGATGGGAGAAACACAACCAGCATGTGGAGAAGAAGAGGAAGCACCGAAAGAAGAGGTCAATATCTGTGGAGAAACATGTAGAAACCATGGTGGTTGTGGACCCCCAGATGGTTAAGCACTACGAGGACGAGGACATCAACAACTACGTCCTTACTGTCATAAACATGGTGAGTATCACATTCAGGTATATCACATGCGTTTAGCCATTAGATACAGTTCCGTACCTTTGCATCATCAAGGCCTGTCCATGTTAATTGATTCTTTATTATCAGAACTGGTGGGAGTGAGTGTGGTTTTACACAGTTTTTAGCTGATTTCTTGCAATATCACAGTGGGGAAAACCAGAAATAGGTTCCACACATTGTAACCATGTGGGGAATCTAAGCCAGACCTTTTGGTGCGACTAGTTATTGCTTAAGCCACTAGGCTACCCCACAGTCTCTTATATGAACTAGAAATAAAGACATATAACCTGCAGGCACCATGCTGTGGGTTACCCGACATTATGTGGTAATTCAACAAAGATGCTTATATTATGCTTCGGTTCATACAGAGATAAAACATCACTGTTATGTGTGTGAAGCCATTAATCTAATGCTGAAGCTATCGCTAATGGCTGTAACATTTAAGGATTATGAGCAGACAGCTATCCATTGTCAAAACCCTTTGTTGTCATGGAGGGATAATTGTTCTTATGTGGGGCAAACATGGATGTTATAGGGTAAAAGTCTGGATGTCATGACCCGTAAGGTGCAAGTTAAATTGTTATGGTCTTTTATTGTGAAAATGGGGATATTATGATCTCTAAGGTTACAAATGTGGATGACATGACATCTGTGGTGCCAGTGTGGATGACATGACATCTGTGGTGCCAGTGTGGATGACATGACATCTGTGGTGCCAGTGTGGATGACATGACATCTGTGGTGCCAGTGTGGATGACATGACATCTGAGGTGCCAGTGTGGATGACATGACATCTGTGGTGCCAGTGTGGATGACATGACAACTGTGGTGCCAGTGTGTATGACATGACATCTGAGGTGCCAGTGTGGATGACATGACATCTGTGGTGCCATTATGGATGACATGACATCTGAGGTGCCAGTGTGGATGACATGACATCTGTGGTGCCAGTGTGGATGACATGACATCTGTGGTGCCAGTGTGGATGACATGACATCTGTGGTGCCAGTGTGGATGACATCTGAGGTGCCAGTGTGGATGACATGACATCTGAGGTGCCAGTGTGGATGACATGACATCTGTGGTGCCGGTGTGGATGACATGACATCCGTGGTGCCAGTGTGGATGGCATGACATCTGTGGTGCAAATGTGGATGACATGACATCTGTGTGGTGCCAGTATGGATGACATGACATCTGTGGTGCCAGTGTGGATGACATGACATCTGAGGTGCCAGTGTGGATGACATGACATCTGAGGTGCCAGTGTGGATGACATGACATCTGAGGTGCCCATGTGGATGTCATAATTGTATAGTATGCAATTGCAGATGTCATGAAAATGTTACATGTAAACTGTTTTCTCCATGATTTAACACTCATGTGAAAGGAAGCTTTCCCAAAAAGATGACTTCCTTTATGACATCAGTAAACCATGACTTCTTATCACGAACATAAACGTTTATCCTGCAGAACACATCTATGTCAATTTGTCATGACTGCTCGGTGCAAATATTCCCAGCATGAATATTTGTAGTCTGACAATGTTGTTTCCGCAGCATGGCTGAAAGTCAAACAGCCTTATATCCTGATCATACACACATTCCAGTGATGAATGAAGGGTGTCAAACAATGCTATTGTAAATATGAAAATTCAACATGTATTTGACTGTCAAACTGTTCTTGAAACAAACAAGTAATTTACAATTACTCTGCCTGCTCTAGGAGGAAAGTTTGGTTTTAAATGTCACAATTAAGTTGTGTGCCAGCAGTTGATTGACAGCTGTTTGTTCCTGCTTCAGGTCTGTGTACCTGATGGTAAAGCCATTAGACACACAAGCTGCCCAGTAAGGGGGATGTTTGGCTTCTGTGGCACCCATAAGCCACCTATGTAAATAATACACATATTCAAGGGCCAACAATAACATAATCTAGAACTCTGCATAACATAGCTCTTCTACAAAGATTTGAAAATCTTAATTGAGCAAAAATAAAAATGGGTGTTTCTGATCGACTTGGCAACACATCAAACAACCCTGAAATTTGTCTGACTTGTGTGGCTAGTTGACAAGGAAACTCATCAAGGCTAGTATTAAAGTAGTGTTTTATCTACCGATTGACCCATATCCTGAGGGATCATCTTGCTTAAGTATTTCGCTGACGTGCCTTGGGTAGACGGACAGAGTGATAAAGCATGGGTACAGATATCTGACAAAAGAGGGGTCTGTCTTGTGATGTAAAAATTTCAGTATATATAATTTGTTTTGTTATATGTTTACTTATATTTCACCCTGTCATTACAAATTTCCAGAATGTATATGCATCCATGGTGTTTTCAACTGTTAGAGGTGCCATCCCTGCAACCCCCTCCAAACTCTCAGTGTGTGTATGGCGAATATTAGTGTGTTAGATTCATGTTATCATCTATTCCAAGAGGCTGGGAAAACAGAACATGCTTGAGGATGAACTAGTCTTATTTCTCCTGATGATCAGTATTGAGATAAGGCAACTCTGCAATGTGTTACAAGGTTAAAAATGCACCAGGAAACCTCATGGATGATTACAACTATGACTTGTTTCATTCAGTCTTATCTTCATGAAAAAAACAATTCTGTTTTTCTATGATATTCTGTTGTTGTTAAACTTGATGAACCAACAGTGACAAGTTATGAATCCTTTTCTTGACTTGTTATATTCTTGGTAGTCTGCCCAACATTTTCTGCAGTGCTGAAGCCCCAAATGAAGAAGTCCAGATTTCGTCAGGTTCAAATTCATGAGAGGGTGTTCATTTGTCTGGGGATCTGTGAGAGGGTGTCCATTTGTATGGAGATCTGTGAGAGGGTGTTGATTTGTGTGGGAATCTGTGAAAGGGTGTCCATTTGTCTGGGGATTTGTGAAAGGGCATCCGTTTGTCTGGGGATCTGTGAAAGTGTGTCCGTTTGTCTTGGGATCTGTGATATGGTGTCCATTTTTCTAAGGATCTGTGATGGGTGTCCATTAGTTTAGGGATCTGTGAAAGGGTGGCCATTTGTCTGGGGATCTATGAGAGGATGTCCATTTGTCTGGGGATTGTGAAAGAGTGTCTGTTTGTCTGGGGATCTGTGATAGGGTGTTCATTTGTCTAGGGATCTGTGAGAGGGTGTCCATTTGCCTGGATATCTGTGAGAGGGTGTCCATTTGTCTGGGGATCTGTGAAAGAGCGTCTGTTTGTCTGGGGATCTGTGATAGGGTGTCCATTTGTCTGGAGATCTGTGATAGGGTGTCCATTTGTCTGGGGATCTGTGATAGGGTGTCCATTTGTCTGGGGATCTGTGATAGGGTGTCCATTTGTCTAGGGATCTGTGAGAGGGTGTCCATTTGTCTGGGGATCTGTGAAAGAGTGTCTGTTTGTCTGGGGATCTGTGATAGGGTGTTCATTTGTCTAGGGATCTGTGAGAGGGTGTCCATTTGTCTGGAGATGTGTGAGAGGGTGTCCATTTTTCTGGGGATCTGTGAAAGGTTGTCCATTTGTGTGGGGATCTGTGAGAGGGTGTCCATTTGTCTGGGGATCTGTGAAAGAGTGTCCATTTGTCTGGTTATCTGTGAGAGGGTGTCCATTTGTCTGGGGATCTGTGAGAGGGTGTCCGTTTGTCTGGGGATCCTAGAGAGGGTGTCCGTTTGTCTGGGGATCTGTGAAAGTGTCCGTTTGTCTGGGGATCTGTGATAGGGTGTCCATTTGTCTGTGGATTTGTGAGAGGGTGTCCGTTTGTCTGTGGATCTGTGAGAGGGTGTTCATTTGTCTGTGGATCTGTGAGAGGGTGTTCATTTGTCTGTGGATCTGTGAGAGGGTATTCATTTGTCTGGGGATCTGTGAGAGGGTGTCTATTTGTTTGGGGATCTGTTAGAGGGTGTCCGTTTGTCTGGGGATCTGTGATAGGGTGTTTATTTGTCTGGGGATCTGTGAGAGGGTGTTCATTTGTTGTGAGATCTGTGAGAGGGTGTCCATTTGTCTGCGGATCTGTGAGAGGGTGTCCGTTTGTCTGGGGATCTGTGAGAGGGTGTCCATTGTGTTGTCAAATGTCAAGTTGACATACCACGATGTAATACTATGTTTACAGTGGTTTTATGCAATGCAAAAATGTATGTTCAGTACGTACAAATATGTGGATGGATGCAGAGGAAATATGTATTGCATCCCAAGGGATGCACAATAATATTTATTGTACCAAATTCCTTACAAGGAATATGAAGTTCCTGTTAATATATAATTAGTTAATCTTATGGTTTAGTACACTACACCATTTCAATACTTTATCAGACCCTCATATTTACTGCAAAGGGGCAGTAGGGTAGCCTGGTGGTTAAAGCATGTCATGTCAAAGACCTGGGTTCAGTTCTCCACTTGGTTACAATGTGTGGAGCCCGTCTCTGGTGCCCCCCACCATGATATTGTTGAAATATTGCTGAAAGCAGCATAAAACTAAACTTACTCACTCTTTCTATTTCCTGTAAAGACCCATGCAGTAAGAATATGTAGGTCCTCCCGACCGGAAGTTTTGTAGTCAAGGTAAATAATGATAGTGATAATGATAATAAGTTCATTTATAATGTGCTAAACGCCATTTACTAGTTGAATGCTCATAGGGCTAACAATCACAGCACAGCTCATTATTACCCCAGATAACCCAACCTGCGTGTGATGTGCTACAAGGTTAATAGTCACATGACTTATCCCACCGGGTACCCATTTTGTGCTAGGTGAACAGAGGCAATTTTGAACAAACTCACTTGCCTTAGACAGACCACATGTATCACATATGCAAGTTAAAGCCATGCAGTGGTATTAAATCAAACTCACTAAATCGAAACAAGTATTCTCAAACCGTCATCTCATACATGGTGCTCAATTCTGAATATAGACCCATACACTTGGCCTCGATCAGTGGACAGGAAGTACAGATTGACCTTCAGATGCTGCTGCAACAAGACCTGGAGCATGTGTTGGTGCTGGCATGCACATTGTATGTCAGATGTCAGTGCAGGATATGCACGGTAATATGCAACATATGGGATGAGATCCGTGCCATTCTTGCATGCCAGAGTTTACCGATTGACAGACGCTGCCTCTTTAACAGGGATGACCCAGTGCCAAGAATTCATACACAGAAATCTTTATATCTCAAAAAATGTCAGGAGAGTCGGTGTGTTGAATATTTTGAAGATGTGTTGTACGATATGTGCTGTTGACATTTTGAGATGTGTTGTCTACATACGTCATGTTGTGTATCTAGATTCATCACTGAGTAGAAACAGGGAGGTGGACTTTCAGTACCCAAGTACTTGAACTGTTTGTATATCTGTATGTACATGTACAATTGCATTTGTTATAGATTGGAAGAATACATAGGTTCAAATTATGTAAATGTTAGTGCTGTAGAGGTATACTACATACACAAAGTATTGTGTGTGAATGCTATATTTTTATTTACAGAAGAAGGTTACTGTTTTGTGAGTGTATTGGGCAGGTTTCATCACTTTAAGAAAGCAATATACATATTTTTATTTTTTATTTCAACGGAAACAATCTTAACACATGAGACCTGAGCACCAAACAGTGGTGGAATATGATGTAGTCTGTCTCACAGTCCCTGATCCATATTATTTTCCCTACAACCTTGTCTTCCCTGCAATGCTAAAGCTCTAAATGAAACAAGTCTAGATTAACCCAGGTTCTGAATCTCTGGTCTCCTTGGGGTTCCTTTTCAATTTATATGGGTTTACTTGTTACAATTAAAATTATATATATTCAGAGACTAAGCTTTAGTGTAGAATATCATGTAACAAAGTCGTGTATAAGCCATTATCGTGTTGCCTTGGATGGTTTCATTTGATGTAGTTAATGCCGAGCTCAGCACTTCTATAATGATTCTGTGTCAGAACTGGTCCCCAGACATCCAGTTGTTGGTCAGATTGTACATGCGTACACAGAAAACTATCAAATCTTAGCTTGCGACCAGTGGATAGATAAAAGCAACTGAGGTATATTTAGAAGTTCTATTTCCTCGCACATGAACACTCACCTAGCAGTCTTTCATATCGTTTCGTATTATTACAGATCAAATATAAATAACAAACACTAACATTTAAACTTTATTATATTTTAACATTTAATGGGAAAAGGCAAAATACCCAATTGATTTTGAGTGAGGTGAGTACAATTTGTTTGGTTACTCAAAGGAAAATTAGGATACCCAATTGAGATGTTGTGAGACTGTAGCTCTGTGTTGTGAGACTCCGATATACTGGTCAGGGATTCATCTATGACTGATCCCAGGTTCAAACTTAGCCCACAGTTGGCTGCAAATTGCAGTAAAAAAATCCAAAATGGAATTAAAAACTTGCCACTGATGTAAAAGTAGTTATAATTGATGTGGCTTGGAGGGGGTGTTTTCACTGATTACCTGAACTCTCAGGAAGAATGAGTGAGTGAGTTATTTTTACGCCACTTTCAGCAATATTCCAGCAATATAACAGTAGGGGACACCAGAAATGGTAGCCATGTGGGGAATTGAACCCGGGTCTTCGACGTGATGAGCCAACACTTTAACCACAAGGCTACCCCACCACTCCTCTCAAGAAGACTAAGACTATAACCTTATAGTCTTAGGGCATCAAATAAGTTACATTGTATTTCTTTTGCAGATTTCAAATTTCTGTATTTTCTTGTGTTGGCAAATCAAAACAGTAAACTATGTTGCTATAATGAACTGACTTTCTTCACATATTAGTCGACCCCTGAAGGTCCGGGTTAGAATATTGATCTTCAGTAACCCATCTTTGTCGTAAGAGGCGACTAACGGGGGTCGAGTGGTTGGGCTCGCTGACTTGGTTGACACATGTCATCGGTTCCCAATTGCGCAGATCGATGCTCATGCTGTTGATCACTGGATTTTCTGGTCCAGACTTGATTATTTACAGACCACCGCCATATAGCCGGAATATTGCTGAGTGCGGCGTAAAACTAAACTCACTCACTCACTCACTGTATGGCCTGTCACTAATTTGCTGAAAACTGCATATATGTCGTGAGGAAGAACAATTTCAAATGGTACCTACCATCAACATGCTATGTCATAATCAGGTCTGTCTGTGGTCTAAGGTGAAGAAATTAACTGTACAGAGTTGTGTTCACATGATGCTGTACCATGGCTTGAGTCCAAAATCCTTTTGAATTTGGTCCTGGTTGTCTCAAACGTATAATACATGTGGTGATATGAAAGTGGTATGCATTTACAATCTGCATCCATTTGGGATTTCTTCCATATTAAGCTGTCTGAATATGACTGGAAAACTGTTTAAAATAGCATTACACCCAGACAACCACTTACTCACACATTCAGGACCGATATTATCTGTGGAACAAGGTAATATTATTCCTCCAGTTGTGGAGGAAATTGTTAGCTATGTTTTGTTCAAGCGATCAATTCCGTGCGACATATGACATATAATCCTGTTATGAATGTGCGGCGAATATCTAAAAACTGATCAGACAATATTTTTAAATTTGTGGCATATTTATTATGATAGTTGTCTCGTTCATTCATATCTGATTCCAAAAAAGCGATACATATCTATCAAGTCTGTAATAATGTAGCATATCGAACATGATGCATAATCATAACTTTTTGACAGAAGAGCTAGTCCACAGCCACTGTACATCAAGGTTTGCCGCAGCCGTAAACAGATTAGTTTCCAGAGAAAACATAGAGGGATCTAACAGCCTAATCACATTGTAGGGTATGGCAATAGGCCAGGGCTGCCAATATGGAGAACAGCTCGGTCGGAAAATAGAGGTGAAAATTACTGTTTGAATGCATACAAGTAGTCACGCCCAAATACTTGTCGTCATTACACATTTTGAGATTTAGTGTATGCGAGTGTTCTATAATTGGCAAAAATGCAGAAGCGATCTTGCATTCCACTGATGGTTGTGATTGGTTGTTTGCCATCTTTTATATTAAGGGCCTGTCACATATTGTATAGGGAGGAATAAGGGGCTGGAGAGAATTTGGAGGGGAACCCAAAAATGGAGAGCTCAGTAAGAGATTTTTGGGTGGGACATGAAATTACCGAACACTTGCGGTGAAAATGATTATTGTTTGTTTAATTTCCTGATTAACCTAATTAGATAATTATCCATTCATGGGAGGGTGAAAATTAACACAGTGGGTGGGTGAAGACAACATAACATGCATGTGTGGAGGGTTATCTTTTTTTGCACATGCATGGTTACAATGTCTGGTTGATACCCCCTATAGCACATGACATGTGTGTTAAGTGCTTCCTCAAGACATAACGTGGGTGTCTGTCTGCCTCGGGTAATGGAATATCATGCACTCCATTAGAGGACTATAGAACTGTAGATGGTTCTTATGTAGTTGTCTTTGATGGTTAAATTGGTACCTGTAATCACAGTTTTACATTGGTGGATAAATATCTAAATAAATAGCTAGATAATATCTGAGCAACATCACTAGAAATGGTATTACATGTTGCACCCATGTGGAAACTTGAACCCAGACGTTCAGCAAAATGAGTGAACGCTTTAACTCCCAGCTACTTCCTACTTCCACAAACGTTTTTAGAAAAGTAATGTTTAAACATCAAATATTATGACATATAGACAAAGTGGAAGTCTCCCATACACCATGAATGCATGTAAGATCATAGGAAAATATTCAACATGGTTGTAAGAGTTGTTTCCCTTTCTTCTTGGCACAACGAGACTTACAGTTGGCCACATGATATTCTTCATTGTGATTCCAGCTTCTTGAAAGTAAGGGATTGTCCAAACTGCACCATACAGTTAAGAACTGACCGTGTTTCTTCTATCACTGAGTAATGAGTTGTAACAACGGGTAGAACTCTATGAAAGAGGGGTATGTTCCACTGTGTCCACAGCACTCAAATGACTTGGTTATACTCAGGATGTACTTCTGTGGTTACTCTGCCATTTTGTCAACCTGTATTTCTCCCAGTATAATCACAGAGTATGCTGGATACATATACAACCACTAGTGTGTAGTTAGAAATAGTTGTTTTTTGTCCAAAGATCTATTTTTTTTTAAGGTAAACCACATATCCAGTATGAGTTGAAGTCTAGTTGATGTGACTTGTGGAGTCTCCCCCTGGTATATTCACAGAGATGTTTCATATTTGCAGGTTGCAACAATGTTCCATGATGCTACCATCGGCAACGCCATCAATATTGTGATTGTCAGGATCATCCTGCTGGAGGAGCCCCAGGTAGGTGGCACCATGACACTCAGTCTGTACTGGACAGTCGTGGTGTACCATGGATTGGTCACCCTGCATGGTTCATTGTAAGTACATGTATCAGACAGACAGACAAACAGACGGATGGACGGACAGACAGACAGACAGGCAAACAGACAGGCAAAAAGATAGACAGATGGACGGACGGATGGACGGATGGGACAGACAGACAGTAGCATGTAGAGCATTTTCCCCATAGTCTGTGAAGTAAGTAAAGCAAATTCCCCACTAGGGTGTGAAGTATGTGATACATCTTGGTAAAGCTTCTAATCATCTATACAGAGAGACTATTATTAAACAGTTAAACACTGTTGTGAGAAACTTTGGTTTGTCCAAGTTACAGTTTTCTCGTGGTAAGAGTTTAGTCCTGCATATTCCTTCCTAATTCATCATTTTTCAGTTGTACTTTACTTGTGTTCTGAGACAGGATGAATGTACTTGAGGAGATTTGGGGAGAACATTGTTGCTTGTGAAAGTGCACTTGGTTTGGAGTTGTGACAAGTTTGAAGACATTACAGTGTCTGTGTTTCCCAGTAGACAGAAGATAACATGTACAGACACTAAGATAACAAGTAGTCACTCTCAGATAACAAGTCAGAACACTTGTGTTACAAGTACCAGCTCACAGATAACAGCACATGTTGGTTCATTGGTCCAGTTTTTATCAATTCTTGAGACACTAAGATTCCACTGGTATTCCTTGCCATGCTGGAGCTGAAGAAAATACAACAATAAACCAACAACTTGAGGTTTAGGTGAATCAGGCTTGCCTTTTCGCTATATATTTTCTTTCATTTTTGTTACATCAGTTATCAGCATTATGAATTAACTCATTTAAAGCAATGTTATGTCTGAAAAGTATAGCACCATCCTAAGTTTTCCACCCGTGAAGATCCGGGTTAGATTTGATCTTCAGTAACCCATGTTTGTCGTAACAGGCAACTAATGGGATCGGGTGGACAGGCTCTCTGACCTGGTTGACACATGTCATCGTATCCCAATTGCGTAGATCAATGCTCATACTGTTGATCACAGGATTGTCTGGTCGAGACTTGATTACTTAAAGTCTGCTGCCATATAGCTGGAATATTGCTGTATGTGGCATAAAACTAAACTCACTCCTCAAGTTTTCTGAAAGTATTACAAACTTGTTTGGGACTATGTTATTCTGTTAAAAAGGATCAATACAATGACAAGACGCTCCCTATCATCAACATGATGATCAGTGTTGACCAAGTCTAAATGACGTCAAAGATGCCCCAGTCTATAGAATGTCCAGAGATTACCTGGAAAGAGATGATGTACAGACAGTCTTAATCTTTATGACGAGGGGGGGGCCTTGTCTTCATAACAATGTAAATGATTTGTTTGCTACAGGAGGACTTAACCATCATGCATCATGCTGACAAGACCCTCCGTAGTTTCTGTCAGTGGCAGAAGAAGATGAACTTCCGTGACGATGACCATCCCAACCATCATGATGTTGCCATTCTTCTCACCAGGTAAACTTTTGTGTATCTTGATAATAAACAGAACAGCCCCATCTACTAAGCCACTTGCATCTTGAACAAAATCTAAGTTCTGAAACCAAAGGTTAATCTTTTTCCTGTTTTATAAGTATGGTTATATTTAGCTTTTTGTTTGCAGAAGAGTCCAAAAAGTCTTATTCTTCTGCATCCTTCTGTAATGGTTGTAAGTGCTGACCAAATCAAATGGTTGTTCAGACTCATGATGTTGTTGATTGTGCGCCATCCTTCTGCCACATGTGGGTCGTTGCTCGCAGCATCAGTGACAGGACTCTTTGGTCAAGAATCAAATATTTTAGAGGTTGTCGTTATAAAGCTGAAATATTTCTGACTGTCTCATTGAACCAACACAAGAGTCATTTCTTCCTTGTCAGTATCTATAGCTAAAGCTTCAGGGGATCCCTGCATTCAAATACTGTAGCAGAGAAACTCAAGTTCATCCTGTTACCAGTTTTCTAACAGTTCATGCAAGTCTACAGGTAGTAAAATGTGATATTTCAGACACAACATCTGTTCCCGAATGAACGAGCCATGCAGTACACTTGGTCTGGCCCAGGTTGCAGGCATGTGTCAACCTCATCGCACCTGCAGTGTCAACGAAGATACCGGACTGGCTCTCGCCTTCACCATCGCACACGAGCTTGGCCATAAGTAAACAGCATATCATACTTCAGTTTGATTAAGGCGATAAGGCCATCACAAAAATGTTGTTGTTTTGGCAACAGTTACCAGTATATGGATTTGGAAGGATAGGGATAAAATGGATGGATAGGAATTTTTGTAGTTAGACCAGTAATTGATCCTTGGTGGATACTCATATATTGAGATAGGAAAATATCGTATGTGTGGTTTGATTTTGGGGTGTATCAGATTGAAACTGACAATTAACTAAATCTACATGATCACTCAGGTTTCAAGCCTTTTCATATTGTGGCCAAATCATCCAATCTGTGGCTATAGCAGAAAAACATAATTCAGTCAATTTAGTCAAGCATTTTCAGCTATTCTACTTTTAATGAAGAAATTTATTTACCAAAGATTTTAAGCATACATTTATTGTTCCAGTTTTGGCATGAAGCATGATGGTATTCACAACAAGTGTGAAGCACCCAAGGGAAAACAGTTTGTGATGGCGCCGCATCTCATAGCCGATTCCACCCCCATGAGCTGGTCCAACTGTAGCCGCCAGTCCATCACACAGTTCCTGGAGTGAGTCATGTAGATAGCAAATAGTCGGGGTAGTTTCCCAGGTGTCTAGCATGGTGCAACTGTAAACGGACGATACCTTTAAGGATGACTGCTTCTTTGTTCTGTTATGGATCCTTTTACCGTTGTCCCCTATGGTCCAGTTGATACCCTCAGTAATCCATGGGTGTGAACTCCTGGACCAGTACAGGGATGAGAGTTTCCCATGGATCTGCGGATTTGATCGCGCTGGGTCATTCTTATGAATCATCCACCTTGGATCTAACCCCAGGCTTTTTTTCCTGTTTTTTCACTCATACCCATTCTCATCAATGGGAGTACATATGGCCTTGACCTTTGACTTTCGATATGGGATATTTACATCAGTGATTATTATCAACTATGGTAGGGTGTTGCTGCTTGTATTGATTCAGCTGATTTCCATTGATCTGTTGAAGGAGTCGATCAGAATAATTTCATTCTTCCAGATGCATTTCCTTTCAATATTTAAGTCATAATACATACCCACATTTTCCAACATATGATTACTCTTCTGGTAACACTTTACTAATATTGATCACATTCTTTTCAAAGCCCTTTTCAGGCAAATTTGTTTTGAATAATCCACACATTCCACTACATCAGGAAAAATAACTCAAAGAGGAAGTAATGTCTAATGACTTAACATATTGTGGAAATAGTTTGTTTTAATGTGGTGCTGCGACCAATTATGACAGTGGAACATATCACGTTTTACTTCAGTCAGCAGTGTATATGTATTGTTACTGTGTGAGTAGAAGCCTTGTCAGGTTTAGAAGCCAACTCCCATTTAGGAAATGAACAAAGATTACACCCATCCCCTTCTAACATCCACATGTGTGAGAAAAGCATGTGTTCTGTTTCTCACAAGCAGCCGTCTAAGTTACAGTAGTTCTATTTTCTTCATCCCAGTTCTGTTTATGAGTGAGTGAGTAATTATATAAGTTTGTATTTCACTGTTCCAACATCAGGACCCATGAAGATCCGGGTTAGAATTGATCTTCAGCAATCCATGCTTGTCGTAAGAGGCAGCTAATGGGATCGGATCGTCAGGATTGTTGACTTGGTTGACACATGTCATCGTATCCCAGTTGCGTACTGGTAGATTGATTCTCATGCTGTTGATCACTGGATTGTCTGGTCTAGACTCGATTATTTACAGACCACCACCATATAGCTGGAATATTGCTGAGTGCGGCGTTAAACAATGTCCAATCATCAATCCAACTCCAGACATCCACTTCACACACTGTACCCTGTAGGGGGTAAGTGATGCTGGATCTAATACCGGTAGATCTCCACCTGTACACTTCCCATCATACTAACGCTTAGTCTCTGAATATATATGATTTTGATAGTAACAAAAAATCCCATTTAAATTGAAAAGGATCCCCAGTGATATGTGTGATTCCTGAACCTGAGGAAATGTAGACTTGCTTCATTCAGGGCTCAAGGGAGGGAAAATAATGTGGTTCAGGGACTGTGACAGACTGACTACTCATTGATATTGTGGCATCATACTCTGAACACATGGATTTTCGCTCAGACTGTCAGTCACTGGACTGTCTGGTCCATAATGGCGGAGTGGGCGATTAAACAACAACTACAAAACAGTTTGGAATACAGATGAATGTACCCCCTGACAACAAGGAAACCAATCAAAGCTGGAGTCACTTGAGTTTTTGCCCATCAATCACTTGATTGTCTGGTTGGATAGCAGGTCATCCTTGCATGGCAGAACTAGATTTGTATGACTTCGGGCATTAGATTAGCCTGGGGATAATCTAGACTGGTTATTTTCTGGCATTGATGTTTAATACTCCTCTGTTTGTCAGTTGTCAGTGGGTTTACTGCCTGGACGATCAGTCTGGGGATAACCAAGACTGTTATTTTCTGGCATTGATGTTTAATACTCCTCTGTTTGTCAGCCGTCAGTGGGGTTACTGCCTGGACGATGAGCCTGGACATCACCCTGATTTCAAGTTCCCGTTGCAGCCAGCAGGCATCATGTACGACACTGACCATCAGTGCCGACTGCAGTATGGAAGCCATGCTGCACTGTGTGAAGGGATTGAGGTCATCGAGGTAGGTAACCTTTCTGTTCTCCCTGAACTGTTGTACTCTTTACCATCTTGTGTGATACTGATAAGTCATATGTAATAAGGTCGAGTTGGATGTGTTGAAGTCTGGATAAGAGGAAATAAGAGAACTATATTCTTGGGTGTGGTTGTACAAAGTGATGTAAGTGCCAAGGTGATCGTAGCTCATGTTCCTAAACCTAAACCAATGAGAGTCATAGCACAAGATTGTTCTGTACAGTACAACCAGAAATTATTGAGAATTTAAAGATTGTAATTTTAAAAAAAAAATTCACTCATTACTCACGTATTAAATGTGAATATTAGCAGAACATAACTCCAGATTCAAAGACAGGTGAACAGTTAGCATTTTGTCAAGTCACCATGGGCAGCAATGCAAGCTTCAATGGGGCGGGGCATACTACTGATCAAAGAAGTTAGAAAGTCGTGGTCCATGCTGTCCCAATATCGGACCACCTCTTCTTTCATTTCAGCAATTTTTGTCAGATTTTTCTTATTGACACTTTCCTTCATAAGTCCCCAAACATTTTCTATTGGATTTAGGTCAGGGCTATAGCTTGGCCAATCTAATAATGTCATATTTTGGGTCCGAAACCAGGCCTTTGTTTGTTTTTAGAAACAAGAATACCAAGCCGCCTCCTGTCACCAACAGTCAATTTTCTGGGCCTACCTGCGCCTCCCTGGTGCTCAATGCCATATCCATTTGCAATATTTTTCAAAAAACGATAAACAGTGGACAAAGGGATGCCTGTTCTAAGTGAAATCACTTTAGCTGATCTGATGTCCTTGTTATAATACTCTAAAATCAACTTCCTCTTCTCTAAATCATCCATACTGAGGATCACTGAAAATGTCGTCTGCTAGCAAGTAAACAAAGGGGGATAACTCTTCACAAACTAATGAAAAAGGATTAACGGAGTTGTCTCTCTTGAATGAAACCAAGCACTTGATAGCTGGTCAAGGTTGTTTATACTAGAAATCCAATTAAACATATTCTTAAAATTCTCAATAATGTCTGGTTATACTATACAACTACATCCTTATCCCCAAAAATTTGCATCAGCAGTGTTAGACTGTATGCTGCAGATGAAATGACAAAATTAAGTTTAGAATGTTTCAATCAAGCATTAATTTAAGTTCTTTTTCAATAATGATGTTAATTATGACAATTTATTTGTAAAGTTAGATGAGAAAGTGACTCAGTTTTCTGTGTATGTATTGCGTTAATGTAACCATGTTTGATGTTTCCAGAATGTGTGCAACACCCTGTGGTGCCGAGTTGACAACAAGTGCTCCACCAAACTGCAGGCAGCCGCAGAGGGCACCTTATGTGGGAAAGACATGGTGAGACACAGAGGATTGTTGAGATACCTACCTGGACTGACATGTAGTCCCAGAAATAAACTTTATCTTTTTTTGATTCTGATAGAAATAGATTGATCTACAAAGCAAATCCAAATGGAGCACAGGATAAGCCATATTTTTAGAATTGCCAAATCATTCTAGACTTGAGTAGGACTCCTATTTAGTTTATTAACTAGGTTTTAGGTTCCGACAAATACCTACCACCAAATAACATGCCTTCTTCAATAAGATCGGTCAAACAGATTCACAAAGTGAATAAACTCCTGCTTTGTGTAACCAATGGGTCTAAAATTGGGTTGAAATTTCTTGAGAGACATGTAAATGAACTATGAAACATTAATCTCCAAATTTCGATATTCATTTAGGTACTCAATAACATGATCTTGTATTCTCTAGCCCAGAATCAGGAGAATAGATTTGGTAATGTAAATAGGTTAATGTATGTTAATTTATGACAGTAAACCATTTTTCTTACACACAGGAAGGGAAGGTTTATATGCAGATGAACCATGCATTCAGAAGAAAATATGGTTAAATTGTTTTTACGAACTGCAGTTGTGACTTTTGATAAAAACATCACCTGAAAAATGCTGTTATAATGAGCAAAGACAAATGTGAGAAGATATAAGCAGAAATATAATACAATACATTATGTTTTGTAATGTTGTTGGTGTGTTGTTTAACGCCGCACTCAGCAATATTCCAGCCATACGGTGGCAGTCTGTAAGTAATGGAGTCTGAACCAGACATTCCAGTGATCAACAGCATGACCATCAATCTACACAACTGGGATACAATAACATGTGTCAACCAAGTCAGCGAGTCTGACCATCCAATCCCATTAGTCGCCTCTTACAACAAGCATGGGTTGCTGAAGACCAATTCTAACCCGGACCTTGATGAGTTGTAATGTATAAGGAAACAGCATTACTTTTCTTGGTAAAATTAAATTTATTGGAAATGATATGAAATGTGACATTACTTCTGTTTGCTTTCAGTGGTGTTACGGTGGCCAGTGTGTGGAGATTGGTGAACGACCCCAGGCCATCAATGGGGAGTGGGGTCAGTGGGCTGGATGGACGGAATGCACCCGGTCCTGTGGGGCAGGCATCTCCTACTCTCAGCGGCACTGTGATAACCCACCGTAGGTCCTACCTTATGCACAGTCAGATCATCTGGTTGTACACCCATTTTAACTGCATTCATATTTTATCTGTTAGTCTTGCAAATTTAACATGAATATCTATCAAGATGGGTATTGGTAGCGGAGGAGTAACCAAGTGGTTAAAGCTGTGGCTTATCACAAAATGTCAGTGTTTGATTCCTCACTTTTTCATCAATGTGTAAAATTGCTGAAACTGGCATAAAACCAAACTCACTGACTCCTGTTAAGGGTATTCAAGTGTATTCATTGGCTGAAAAATTATGCTGAGATCATTATATGATTGTGTATACAAGTCTGAAATCCAGGGATGTATACATCACAAAGTGTTAGGGTGGAACACCAAATGTAGTGTTTGGGTGAATCATTTAAGCCTCTTATCTTGAATAAAATGCTTCACATCTCATTCAAATTTAAGTAATATGAAACAATCTAAAATCTGAAAACTCAAGTAACCAACCACTCTGTAATAAAGAACACCAGCAGGATCAAGTTTGTTGAGTGCCTCAAGTCAGCATGACATTTACCATTCAACAACACCTTTTTAATAGCCCTCAATGTTGTGTTTCACAATAGAAGGGTTACCAAGTGCTCAAATATTTAAGAAGGTTCATTACCTTATTCTATACTTTGCTCTTAGCACATTTACTGGGAAATATCTTAACATCTGACCTTCAATAACATCTTCCTTTGTTACTGGAGCTAAGATTAATTTATGTTTGTCTAATTTCAAGGCCTTCCCATGGTGGGAGATACTGTATTGGAGAGAGGAAACGTTATCGTATTTGCAAGACTGATGTAAGTATTAAGAACACATTGGCTTGTTTATTCCTTACAACAGGTTATTTCAGAATAATTATTCTTATAATCTCTAATCATATACTGAGACAAACAAATAAAGGATCACAGGAAAATTCAAGCGTTCCTTTATTATTTTCCAGTTTTCATCACCACAGCGCTATTCAAAGCTGGTGATGAAAGCTGGAAAATATTTAATGAATGCTTAAGAGGGTATCTATACTCTTAGATACCCACCATCATTTCAAAATCCGGGTATTCATTTCAAATAAGCATATGAGGTGCAACATTTTTTTATTCAAAAATTAAATTAGACAAAATCCTTCTAACAATGCTAAATTATAGCTAATAGAGCTTTATCTACTTGTGCTGTAAGAAATACAATGTGCCTTAGTCTACATTCGTTTTGGTGGAAAACACGATACCAAGATGGCTATTAGTGAACGCTTATCAGTGAAGGGTTAACAAACCATGATTGGTATTCTGTCTGTGTTGCATATTTTAATTGCATTTAGAATTATACAAAATTCTTTTAGTTGCGAATATTTAGAGATGGAAAAACTTTAAGTTTGATTGGCTTGAATTGATACAATACGCAACATGATGTTGATGTATTGCGTAAATACGTTTTGTTATTTTGACATAGCGTAAACATAATTGTTTAGTGTTTTTTCACACACTTATATTTGTCTTGTGTATTTAATCTTTTCTATAGCGTATTATACGCAAATACGCAGCTTGTCTACAGCTCTGTATGTCTGTCTGTAACAGCCCTGCCCGGATGATACTCCCAGTTTCCGACATGTACAGTGTTCAGAGTTCAACCGCATCCCCTACAAGGAAGGCCTGCATGAATGGGAGCCAGTACTGACACCACGTATGTACCTGTAGATTATCCCCAGATTATGTACCACCCACTCTTTCCCTTTCAAGAACATCTTGGTGCTGCCTCAGCACTGGTGTGAAACTTTATGGGATATTGAAAGAAGCTGCCATAAAATATCATTTAAAGTTTGTAATTGGGCTCTGACAGTTGTGTGGGTCAGACTAAAGATTGAAATTAAAGAAACCAAAACACCAATGTGTTTAATATTTTATGCCAATGGAAGAAGGTTATTAAATTCAATGGTATTTTAACAGTTTGTGACTGATGGGTAAAAAAATAAATAGAAACAGATTGCAGTCACCTTATGTTAAAGATCCTTGTTCAGCACTATTCCAATGCACAGGCCCCCACTGCGGGTCAGTAGGGGGTGTTGATACTAAACTGGGGCCTAGTTTATCGATTTTCTGACCAAAATAGTAGCGGGTGTTGATACTAAACCGGGGCCTAGTTTATCGATTTTCTGACCAAAATAGTAGGGGGTGTTGATACTAAACCGGGGCCTAGTTTATCGTTTTTCTGACCCGCAGTGGGGGCCTGTGTTCCAATGCTTGTAGATTTTACCATGCTGATCTATTTTGAATGCTGTTCAAAACATTTAGGGGATAATGTTTACAGTAACAGTTTTCTGAAGGTTTTTGTTACTTCTTGTTCCTAAAGTTTTTAACTAAGAAGTATATTTTAAACAGAGGTAATATATTGTTTCAGACACTCCCCTGCCAACTGCATTGTAAACCTGTAGACAAGTTCTTCTCGGTCATGCTGAAGGACATGCTTACTGATGGCACTCCCTGCATCCCTGGTGGTCGGAACATGTGTATCAGTGGGCGTTGTCGGGTAGGTGTCATCCGATGACACAGCATAGGGATTCCAGGACAGATACTCAGTTCCCAATATTTGTTTTCTTGTAAAATTTCCAACAAAGGTTAGATCTCTAGTACCCTACATTTGCTCCTTGTAGGAATCCAAAAACAAATTGATACTCAGTTCCCAGTATTTGTTTTCTTGTAGCATTTCCAAGACAGGTTAGATCCCTAGTACCCTAAATTTGCTTCCTTGTAAGAAACCCAGGACAAATTAGATACCCAGTACCCATTATTGTACCAATAACAATGCAATAACTTCAATGCTTAATAATACTGAACCAGTTGTTTCATGTACAGTTTCCTAGGCTGTGTTTTAGTTTAAACTCACATCAGAGGTGAAGTGAATATATAAATATAAAGAATGGTCAAAGTAGCCCAATGGAAATGTATTCAGTTGGTAATAGTTTGACTACATATGATGATGTGTTGGTCCTTCAGCATGTAGGCTGTGATTGGATCATTGACTCCAGCGCTGTGGAGGACCGATGTGGGGTCTGCTATGGTGATGGATCCACCTGCAAGACTGTCAAGAAACAGTTCAATGAAACAGATAAATTAGGTAAATATGTAGCAGAAATATCAGCAAAAAATGTTTGGCTGTGCTGTTATGTCTTTTTTGTTTGAATTCCACATATCTAGTTAAATCATAGAAGTGAGATTCTCAATAATCAAACACATTACTACATTGTGTTCAGTCATTTACATGAGCAGAACATTTCTGCATATCATGATTCAAAGATGAATTAGCAAAACATTAACACAGTCTAAGTAAACTTAGACTCAGTATTATTCGTTACACAGCTATACTGAGTCTAACAAAACCTTGTGGAAGGTCGCGTCAGGTAACCTTTGAGCGACCTATGACCGTCCAATCAAATGCGAGACGGACGAACTGATTTAGCAAATCAGACTACAGCTACTATTTAGGTTTGGGCAGGACTTACAAAATGGGTTTTCCCTTCCTCGTTTGCCAACACTGATCTCCCAACAAATGAACATTGCATAAAACACAGCTATTTGACCTGCGGTATATACGCTTTGGGGTTTCTGTTGACATGGCTGTCATTAGCTAATATTTCAGCAAGCTGACATGCTTGAATACTGACAAAATGCTATTTTTTTGCGACTGCTTACTCACTGCTGTGGCGTGCCTCACAAGGAACCGACCGTACGGAAAATAGCAGTAGTATACACAATGGGGCTTCTATAGCATTTGGAATAGTTCGGTACAAACTTTTTGGGAGGTAAAAGTTCAAAAGGTATGTGCGAATGTCAACTTTTGCGATTTGGTAAGCTGTGTTCTGATTGGTCAGTTGAAAAGGTTATCTGATGCGACCTTCCACAAGGTTTTGTTAGACTCAGTATAGCAGTGTAACGAATAATACTGAGCCTAAGTTTACTTAGACTGAACATTAAAATATAGCTGATTCCATATTTAGCCAAATCTACTAGTGACAATTAGGGGTGGGTATTGCGGAGATTTTTCATATTCCGATATATTGCAATGCGAAAGCATATATTGCGATATGTATTGCAATATATTGCAAGAAGGTTTTTTTAACTAAAAACTAATTATCATCGAGTAAATGCTTGATTTATAAAGCAAAAAGACGTCAAAATCACTGTGCTTGAATAAGCTTTAAAAATAAAACCTTTAACATTTGGCAAAATAAAACCTAAATAACATTTGGCACAAATGAAACAAGGAAATATCAGAAGATTTCCGAGTGTTACGAAGTTTCTGAATGCATGTCAAAATACTGGTTCTTGATCAGCTTATTGCAGTACGTATCGTTTTCATGTCTGAACCGGTAAATACCGGTAAACCGGTTATATTGCGCAGCCCTAGTGACAATACAGCTGATGTTTGATTCTATGTGGGGATCTGAACCCAGACATTCCACATGATGGCAAACATGTTTAATGACAGGTTTTAGTGTTATCAAGTTGAGCTATACATGTATAGGTATATATAAGTTTAATATGAAAAATGGAATCCTCATTCTGATGGTATGTACATTAAGTCTTACTAAACTTTTATTAATTGACTCAAATCTGGTAAAAGATTTGGGCAGCCCTTGATGATGCAATTCATTGCACTTATTGATGGAACACGTTTCCTTAACATGGCAAATATTGGATCCTTAATATCAAGACATGTATTATGTTCCTGAAGAAGTGCACCATTGCAGCACATGATGTGATGTTTTATTAATTAACTCCAGGCTACGTGGAAGCACGGTGATTCCAGTCGGTGCCCGTAACATCCGAGTGGAGGAAGTAGCTGCCGCCAACAACTTCTTGGCCCTGAAGGACCAGCAGGGGAAGTACTTCCTCAACGGACACTGGTTCATCCAGTGGAGCGGGGACTACGAGGCCGCTGGCACCATCATCCAGTACCGCAGGAAGGGAAACAAGGAACACTTCAAGGCAGCGGGGCCACTCAAGGAACCACTACACATAATGGTAGGCATGGACACTCAGGAAGGGGAACTGGTTTCTGGGAACATTTTTACATTGTGTGATGTCCATTTTGAAACTGACTCTTCCTGAAATTTGTATTTCACAATATGTCAGGTGAAATTCCGTGTGGGTTTTCCTTTCTGAATGCATTCTGAATGTGATTCTTTTTATGAGGACATTATACTTTTTTAACGTCATTAAGATCTTACTGTACTTTTTGTGAAACAATTGGAAAATTTGTACGATGTTAGGTTACTGCATACATGCACATTTTCTTTTTTAAGATCACTAATCATCTGTGAACATGGATTTTATATTATGTTCGTAGGTAATCAGGAGTACATAAAATACATGTTTAACAACACTATGGGTCAGTTGGTGGAAATGCACACCTCCTTTTCACAAGACCCGTGAAGGCCTGGGTTAGAATGAACCTTCAGTAAACCATGCTTGTCGTAAGAGGCGACTAACGGGATCGGGTGGCCATGCTTGTCGTAAGAGGCGACTAACGGGATCGGGTGGTCAGGCTCGCTGACTTGGATGACACATGTCATTGGTTCCCAATGGCGCAGATCGATGCTCATGTTGTTGATCACTGGATTGCCTGGTCCAGACTCGATTATTTACAGACCTCTGCCATATTGCTGGAATATTGCTGAGTGCGGCGTAAAACTAAACTCACTCCTTTTCACAAAGATATATCTATGTTTGCCATGGTAATAGTTTTCTGTTTACCCCCCAGCTTCTGCTACAGACGACAAACCCAGGTGTGGTCTATGAGTACACAGTGCCCAAGGAGAACGCTACAGATACTCGCTCACCAGAGTTCCGCTGGGAGTTCTCTGATTGGTCGCATTGCACTGTGTCTTGTGGTGGAGGTAGGGACCAATCACATCACATCACACATCAGATGCCATTTTGAGATGCCTGGACCATTTAGTGCTTAGGAGGATTCATGTCTGTGAAACCATTACAAACATCATCATATATCTGATTTAAAGAGAGTGAATGAGTGAGTGATTGAGTGAGTGAGATTCATGTTGCTTGAGACTATATTCCAGTTTTATCACAGCATGTCAGGTTGATGTAGGATGACAGATGAAGGGTGTTGTGGTGATAAACCGACATCATTGTTGAGCTGAATCTTCATTCAAACCAAACCGTGAAGGTCCGGGGTTAGAATATTGATCTTCAGTAACCCATGCTTGTCGTAAGAGGCGACTAATGGGATTGGGGGGTCAGGCTCGCTGACTTGGTTTACACATGTCATCGGTTTCACTCACTCATTCAAACCCATCATCATAGTTTTCTGCTGTACCTAAGGGACAATCCCCATTGAATGATAGCTTGGTTGAATGATGGCCACACTTTCCATGATATTCATTGGTCAGTTTAAATGTCAATAATATGTAACGTACAAAATGTTATATAATTTTACAGTAACATATTTCACACAATAGTTTGATTAATTTGAAAAATTTACTTAAATTTACTCGAATTAGGTATTTTCATTGTTAGTATTTTTCAAATTTTCATTTGTCAGACAAAAAAAAATCACATTAATTTATAGTGACTTTTGGATCTAGTTGGTTGAATCTGATACAGAAAATGAATGTTTCCACTATGTTGTTTGCAGGTACCAAGCGTTCCATGGTGGTGTGTGTAGAGAAGGAGGCAGGTGTTGTTGACGAGATGTACTGTAATGCCTCGTCTAAGCCAGATGACAAGCTCCGCAGCTGTAACGGTCACCTGTGTCCAGCCAGGTAAGTGAGTGAGGGAGTGAATGTTGTTTGATGCTGATACCAGCACTGTAACAGCCATATCACAACACCTGGTGAGGTTGAATCTGGACCAGACAAACCAGTGATTCAAAGCATAGCAACAATCTGTGTATCCAGCCTAGTCATTCAGTTCAACAGTCTGATTCTTCTTAGGTGGCTGTTTTAACCAGCATGTAATGTTGGTCATGTGTATCCTCAACAGGTAAGGGACCGTTCATAATTTATGGCTAGGGGGCTGATGATGATTTTAAGGGGGTGTCACCCATTTTGTTCTTGGGAGGTAGGGGGATATTTAACTTTGTACACATGTACTAGGGGGTGTCAGCAATTTTGTACACAAAAATAAAAAAAAATTATGCTTAAAAAATATGGGAAGGGGGAGTGGGGTCATTGATTTTGTACATGACATGCAGGGGGGTCACTGACTTTGTACATAGATTTTAGGGGGTGTCAGTCACATTGTACATGCTTCTCCATAAAAATCATTATCACCCCCCTTGCCATAATGAAAGGTCCCTAACCGAGTAAGAGGCGTATCTGAGGTGGGAGAATGAAACACTGAGTATTATATAGTATCTCATCACACAACAGGTAATGAGGTTATAACTGAATTGTGAATATTTGGGTGTAACTTTCTTCTGCCAGGCAGATGGATCATAAACATTTTAAAACCACCTGGATTCAATTATAAGATTCAAATAACATGAGCTGCTCTTGTACCTGAGCATACCTATTGTATACTTCAATGTTCAATTCTTTTTTCAAGATGGTGGACAGGTCCTTGGCAGCACTGTTCTGTGACATGTGGAAAGAATGGCATCCATCGTCGTACTGTGATTTGTGTGCGGAGTCTGGGCCCTGATGAGCAGATTGCTCTGGAGGATGAGCCGTGTAAAGGGTTGAACAAACCAACAGAGGTTGAGCCCTGCCGACACAAGGAGCCTTGCCCAGGCGATGTGGACTGGCTGCATTCAGAGTGGTCCAAGGTGAGTGAGGGAAGAATTTCAATGAAATGAAATTGATCTCAGTGAAAGTGAGTTTAGTGAGTGAGTGAGTTTAGTTTTACGCCACACTCAGCAATATTACAGCTATATGGCGGCGGTCTGTAAATAATCGAGTCTGGACCAGACAATCCAGTGATCAACAGCATGTGCATCGATCTGGGAACCGATGACATGTCAGCGACCCTGACCACCCGATCCTGTTAGTCGCCTTTTACGACAAGCATGGGTTACTGAAGATCAACATTCTAACCCGTACCTTCACAGGATCCCAGTGAAATACCTAAAAGCATAAGTTGACAGTGACTGCAGATTTGATTTTTGAGATTCAGTTCTCGCATTTCATCCCATGTGAAATAATGATCTTGAACAAAACCGTTTTGGTTTTATGACTCCCAGGCTTGATACACTAAGTCCTTGTTGAATAAAAATCTGCCACAGATAGTATGTATTGTGATCCTGCATTAGTGTTGTTTTTGTCTGAATTTCATCACTTTCAGTACTATCTGACTCACCAGAGATTGTAGCTATCAACAAGTTCATGACTGTTCAATTTCAGCTTTCAGCTTCAACTTTTAGTAGTGTGAAATAAGACATAGAAATAAGTTTCATGACCGTCAATAAGGTGAAGCTACCTGAGTAGTTGTTACATTAATGTAAGTCCTCATCAAAAATTTGAAAATAGATCCAGAATTAACCTGTGAGCCTGTATCCAATGCTTTGATACAAAGATATATAGGTACCATCAGCAGTGCTAACCGTGATAATACCTGTGTGTTACAGTGTACCAGCAACCCATGTGCCCTGCAGACCAGGCGGGTGTGGTGTAGTGCTGGGGACGGGGAGATCAAGTGTGACCCGGACTCCAAACCACAGTCACAGAGACCATGCAGCAATTTTACATGTGGCAAGTGGGAGGTGGAGAAATGGTCAGATGTGAGTTCATTCAAATTAATCTCATCTACTGCAATTTGCTAGAATATGATAAATATATAACCTGTGCTTTTTTGGTCAGTGGAGTTTTGGATATCACAAACAGTTGACAAGTATGCTAGGGCTTGGAATTGTTACATAGGTACTTGTGTCCGCTGGATCCTGAAAGTTTTAGACTTTCATTGTGTGATTAAATGGGTATTGTTTGCTGTCGGGGGTTGGATAAAATCCTTTATCATTCATCACATAGGATTAGTTGACAGCAAATGTGTTTTTAGAGGCGAAGTGCTATTATTCAGTACGTATTTTCAAGAAGAGTCTTTAAGACTCTTATTGAGTAAATTGGAGATGTTCTCTTATGCTAAAAAATAATCACTTTTGAATTCTATTTTTCAGTGTAGCCAGACTTGTGGTGATGGTGTTAAGTACCGTAATGTCAAGTGTGAAGGTGGCGATAAATGTGACCCTGACCTTGAACCTATATCAGAGAAGATTTGTCTGGTCCAGGAATGTCCATTGCCTGAAACAACAACACAGGAACCAGATATAGAAACAACATTTGACAACAGCATTGCCACCATTGATATGAACACAGATGAAACAACGTCAGATGTTAATACTGTTGCCCCAACTACTGATCATAATTTCAAATCTACAATACTAGATTCTCAACCAACGGTATCCAGTAGCAACCAGTCGTCACAAGTAACCAACTTGAAGATGTCAACCAATACAATATCTATAGGAAGCACTAATACTGCTATAGGTGGAGAAATTAAAACAAAATCAAATGAAATAAAACTGGGAGAGTCTAGTATTGATTTAAATGGGGAAGATAATACTATTTTGATTCCTGAAAGCAACGTGGATGTACCTCATAAACATCGCCATAATCATAATCATCGGAAGCATCATAAAAATAAAAATATTGTCATAAATAACAAGCAGTCTGAGAATGACGTGTTAGTTGGAAAGACTAGCAAGTTTAATACTCTCTCACCGACTCATAAAACTCTCACAAAATCAACAAGCAACACTCCAATTAATTTTGAAATGAGCACAATAGGGGAAGATAACTCTGTAACAGCAACTCCCAGTGACAAGCCAGAGGAGCAGGGAACAAAACAGAAGGAGAAGACTGTGATGTATTGGTGGCAGACCAGAGAGTGGAGCAAGGTGAGTCAGTGGGTGGAGCAAGGTGAGTCAGTGGGTGGGGCAAGGCGAGTCAGTATGTGGGGCAAGGTGAGTGAGTGGAGCAAGGCGAGTCAGTATGTGGGGCAAGGTGAGTCAGTGGGTGAGTGGAGCAAGGCGAGTCAGTATGTGGGGCAAGGCAAGTCAGTTGGTGGGGCAAGATTAGTCAGTTGGTGGGGTAAGGTGAGTCAGTGGGTGGAGCAAGGTGAGTTTGTAGGTGGAGCAAGGTAAGTCAGAGGGTGGAGCAAGGTGAGTGAGTGGGTCGGTGGAACAAGGTGAGTGAGTGGGTGGAGCAAGGTGAGCCAGTGGGTGGAGCAAGGTGAGCCAGTGGGTGGAGCAAGGTGAGTCAGTGGGTGAGTGAGTGTCACAAGGCAAGTCAGAGTGACTGGAGCAAGATGTTGTAGATGTCAGTAGGCAAATGGAGTAAGGCAACACAGGTGTGTCAGTATATTAGCAGTCTAAATTAAATACCCTGCTTTCCCGGAATATGTATGACTCTCACCTTGTTGACTGTAAGGGGCACAAGGTAATTGACAGAGTTGCCTCCCTTTACCCATGTTTATAGGTCCAATCTGAAACTGGACATGTTGTGTCTGGGTTTGTCAGCACCATGGGTTTCACCAAAGTGATAATGTCGAAGACTCTTTTCCATCTAAGGCTTTCCTTCCACATGAAGCTAATAAGTACACATACCACTAGAATACTGTTGAAAGTTGCACAGGACACAGTCCACTCACATGTCTGCTGTGTTTAGACAAGATCTAACTTGTGTTGCAGTGTTCCCGTCACTGTGGAGGTGGCACCAAGATGAGGAAAGTGTACTGCGTGGAGGTTAGAACAGGCAGAGAAATACCAGCAGCGTATTGCGATAAGACCATGAAACCTACAGATATCGAGGACTGTCACCGTATGCCATGTCTCAAGTGGCAGACCACACAGTGGAATCAGGTGGGAAGTGACAGTGTTTATCACATGCCACAACAAGTTTTCTTCAATTTATAAAATACATGTGCTATGGCATTCTTTATTATCAGTCAGTGATTAAAAACAATAGAGAGTTTCCTATATATTTATTGTTAAATATGATGCTATTGATTGGCATCAGAGACCATATAATATCTATTATATGGTCTCTGTTGGCATTCAGTAAAGCTGTTGACACAACAATCCAATGTCAAGACAGACCAGGACAAATGATGACTGAATATGGTTGTCATTGGCAACCATATTGTATTGTCTCTGAACAACTGCAATAAACAATATGGTATACTGGGGGGTGATGTGTTTGACAGTGAGTAACACCAACTGTACATGTAAATACTATTTTCTACACAATTGGGCCCTTAAAATATATTATAGCATTCTGATAGGTTTGATAGTAAGGGATTCTTTCTTCCATTTTTATACAATTTTTAGTATGTAACATATTCTGTTTTGTGAAAGGGGATTGAGAATGAAAGTAGATGTCCAATTAATCTATAGGGAGATATCACAAAGCCTGTTACACTTCTCTGACAAATATAACCATTCTCAGAAAAAATATAGCAGTATCTAACATTTAAAAAGTGTACTGCTGTGTACCGTTGTACTGGTATCACTGTCCAGTTCTACATATACTATTGAAGGCTTATTAAACCTGTGTATAATGTATATAAAGTGCTTGGCAGAATCTAAATTTTTACATGTTTTGTTCACAAACATATGTAATTAAAACCCCAAATCTTGAAAAGATAGGGCCCTTCTTTTGCTCAGTTATTGACCAGTCCACTGTAAATCTTGAGAGAATAAGAAAAAGGTATTTAAGGTGATGTGAGGTGAAATTGGGTTTAATGTCGTGCTTGAGAATATTTCACTCATATGACGACGTGCATGTGTGTGTATGTGTAGGTGCAGCTGCTTGTACTAGCCCAGACTTAAGCTGGTTTTATAGGGCTAGCCCACTGAGATACCATCTGCAGTGAAACATGAATACCCCACTCAGACACATTATACTGACTCCGAGCCGACCAGTCCTTGCTGTACCCATTAATGCCAAGCGCCAGGCAGGGACCAACAAGTACCATATTTTAACGTCTTTTGAAAGGTATTTAAAATATGTGCTTAGACAATATCATTGATCAAGGTTTGTGATAGGAAAAAAAGCTTTGCGTTTCTAAAATGCACAGCCCAAAGAAGTTTGCGTGTTAATTCTCCTTCTATTTTAGAGCATGTTGTCATCATTCGCAAGTCAAATTAGCTCAGAGAAACTTTATTTTATTTTGTTGTTTCCTTGGGCAAAATACATTTTTCGGTTACTTGTTCCCAGAACACAAAATGCTTTACATGCAGAACACGTAGGTAGAAAATATTGCGCGTGAAATGTAGATTTATTTGCATGAAACATGCAGGTTTTTGAATTAACGCAAACATTGGTGAATCAGTTACTTTTGTTTTTGAGCATTGTTGAGTACTGATGTTACTTTTATAACACAAATTATAAACAATTGCTTAATGTCAACATACTTTTATTTTCTGACAGTGTTCAGCGACCTGTGGCTATGCCATCCAGAGCCGTCATGTGTATTGTAACACACCCAACAAGTGTGATCCCCGAGAGAAGCCCCCCAAAACTCGCGAGTGTAAACTTCAGGCTTGTATTTCCTGGGTCAATGGAGACTGGAGTGTGGTAAGTGATGCAATGTGCTGTTTGTAAGTCATTTAGTACATTCTTACCCTAAAGCAGGTGATTTGAAGGTATTTTGTTTATCCAGTCCTTAATTGTTAGAAAGAATATAACTATTATTATGCAGAAGAATGAGGGTATAATCATGAATGATTTACAGTTAAACTTGTTATAAGAATATTACACAATATAGTCTTTGTTATCAGTAATGACACTGGTGCATCATGGGATATTAAACCGGAACTGAATAAGACTTGGGTTAGAGTCGGGTCAAAGTATTGACTGATCTGTTATTGTGAGAGGTAATGAAGCGTGGGTTGGTAAGATTTTGGTGACTTTGAAATCTAATTAAATGCAGTGTTTGACACCAAACATCAAAGCCAAGGGGTTCTGTCATTGCAGTAATTCAGAAAATTAAAGAGTTGGTTTTCCCTTTATTTAAATTCTGCAGGAGAAAGGACCTTTAATTCTCGACATTGGCAGACATCACAGCTCAATGACTAGACATTTCAGGATTAATTCTCAGGACCACCAATAGAACTTGTTATGGAAGTGTTGTGACCATCCTGATCTGTTGTTACTAAGCACAGGTTGAAGTTAGGTGTACTTGTATTGCAGTGTTCACAGACGTGTGGTGGAGGACAGCAGGTGCGCCTGGTACAGTGCGTCAACCTCACATCCCAGCAGTCTGCACATGGATGCCATGCTAGTCTAAAACCTAAACAACAGGAATCCTGCAACACAGACTCCTGCCCGGTGCAGAATGCTGGTAGGAAAGCAGCTAGAATTTTACTTCAGGAAATGTTTAGAGAGTGGGCCTCCAATCATCCCCCTACCCATTCTGTCATCTCACACCCTTCACTTCTTCTCCTTCTCTTCTCTCCACTTCTCCTCATCTCTCACCCTCCACTTCTTCTAATTATCTTCTCTCCACTTCTCATTATCGTCTCTCCACTTCTTATCTTCTCTCCACTTCTCATTATCGTCTCTCCACTTCTCCTCATCTCTCACCCTCCACTTCTAATTATCTTCTCTCCACTTCTCATTATCGTCTCTCCACTTATCTTCTCTCCACTTCTCATTATCGTCTCTCCACTTCTCCTCATCTCTCACCCTCCACTTCTTCCAATTATCTTCTCTCCACTTCTTCTCCTTATCTTCCCTCCACTCCCTCACCTTCACTTCTCAACTCTTGCCTTACTCACCATCTACTTCTCCCCATCTTTAACTCTCTACCTTTCCCTCATTTCCAACTCTCACTATCCGCCCCTCCTGAGATATGAGCAAACTGGGCCTGTAGTAAGAGGCAGCTTCATGGATGTAGGTCTGGCTCGGTTCTTCAATGATAGTGTTTCATCATATGAACATTTACAGGCAGCCATCAATTAGCTGAAATATTGCTGAGTGTGGTATTAAAGAAACAAAACTACCAATGACATGTGGAAATATAGAAATGATTAAACAGATATGTAACATGACAGGAAACTGTTATTAAAGATTCTATACAGCATTTCTTTATTTTGTTTCAGCCTATTCAATTACCTGTGAATCCAATGAAATGAGCTATCGAGTGTGCAAAATGTTGAAGAAGCTAAAGCACTGTGACAAGGCATATGTACGCGCCAAGTGTTGTCGTACGTGTGGAAAGCATCGCAGAGACAAGTCTCAGAAACCCACAATAAGAAGAATCAGCCGAAGATAACGTTCAGTGTTGACATCTGATGTTTGAAACATGTGAGAAGTGCTCAATGGGCGGGGCTTGTCCTGCTCTGTTCTGATTGGTCAATCAGTATGGTGACACGATTTGCTTGACAGCTGTCAGATACCATGATAGACAAGTTGGACAATTGTTGCATATTGTAGATAATTGTGATTCCCATTTCACCATTGTCACAGTCAGTTCTACATCTACACAAAATAGATTGTCTTTTGTTATGTTTGATATTTTGAATGACAAGACTAGCCCACTGTGGAGAAGTGACTGACGTTTGGATGTTGTTGATTTCATTACATTGAGGTCATAATACTCTGTGATCAGCGGGTATTTAGTGGAGAAACTGATATTGCAGTGTTATCATTCTCTAACCTTTCTCCAGACACTTTCATTGGATAGTGAAATCCAAATCTGATTGGCTGATGAAACAATGGCCGTGATTGGATAAAGTGTGTTCAGTGACAGGATGTGTTGCATATTATGAGTATGTGCAATGGTAATCCCAATGTGTGTTCCCTGTTGAACAGAGAAAGGTCAACACAAGGAGCTTGTGTGTGTTGACCAGTGAGACGATAGTGCTGCAGTGGCTGCTGCAGTGTGGTAGACACTTTCAACGATGTACGCCCTGGATCCAGTGACCCGACATGGCGCTATAGTCTATGACTCCATAGGCTGAGCACCACTCATTGTTCAACTAATTTCATTGGGTTCTGCCATAATCAATCCTTCTTGAATAAAAGGATCTTTGATCTGAAAGCAGCAGAATATTTAACTGAAGCTTGAATATGTTTTAAAATAGACTTTCTTTCAAATGTTTTTGTTTTTAGTTTGTCTGTTTAATTTTGAATTGGATAGTGAATACACTGAAATATAGTTATTCATGAGTCTACCTGTATGGAAACTTATCCTTTTGGGTGATTACATGGAGAGGATGATGATATTTCTTCGTTCTGATGATTTAGTTAATTCAGAAATTTTTAATGTGGATAATTTTACTGGAGAGAGTACCACCCAGATTTATGGGGTTTCACAGCATAGCCAAAGACTGACCTCTGTAAGCTGGTAAGTGTAAACAGTGCTATCAATGAATTTTATATAAATTTTAATGGATGTTGTTTTTATGTTGTATAGTTTTGTTTAGTTTCAGATGTCCTGTTAATTGTTTTCCCTACTTTGGACAGGAACAGAACCCATGGAATTTGAATGAGATCCTTGTTAATAGACTTACACCATTCCGTGAGTTTGTCAAAGGTCTTGCAGTCATGCTGGGCACTGTCCAAACTGGGCTACTATCATAAATAGACTAGGTACATCAAAGTCCAGCTTTATATGTTTAGAACTTTACCACATGGCATCACATGGCAAGTTTGCTTTTCAAGACCACTTCATGTAACTTTGATCAATTTTTAATCTATGGCTTGTCCAACCTTTGAAAGTTTGTCTTATGTAAAGTAAAATAAGTTCGGTGCACTGTAATAATACACTTCAATATATGCTTATGTGATAATTTTATTTTGTAACAGATTTGTTGGTAATACCTAAGCAACTTTCTGTTCTAATTTAATTTTTTGTTTGTCTTGTTATATGTTTGTTTTGAAAGCCTGAGCAGTAGCTATTGGTGATTGCTTATTTCAAATGTATCCTTGCAGAATACAGATTTTTACATTTGTTGGTGCTATCCGGTAGATCACAAAGAGTCTGAATCAACTCAAATACTTCATTAAACTTGAATAGGATTTGTAGGCCTAGATAATTCCTTAGCACTGATGTATATAATTAATGCCAACGATTTTAAGGTTTGTATTGAATTAAAGAAACATCAAAGTACCAATAAATGCTTTTTTTGGTTTTTAGGGTTTGTACTTTTTATTAGCTTTGTGTTTCACTACATTCTGTCTTCGTTTGTTAAGACCAACTCTGAAATGGCCAACATGATTCTTTTGTTATCTGTGATAAGCCAACACTGTCAGTTATACTGAGGGAAAGGTCCAGCATCATCAACACAATGCTATTGATAAACATAACGGTTTATATTACAATGGATGTGTTGTACAAGAGCCAACAAGCCTCTTTTGGCACCATTTGCCAGATCAGCAAATTTTGAAGTTAATGTGTCTTCAACAATTGCACATTTTGGAATGCAGAAAAATGCCAGGTGTCTAGACTCCTATTTTAGGTGTTTTTCAGGATTTTTATGTTATGTTTTTACATAATATGCACATGAGCAAGTCTTTACCCCAGATATTGGTACCAAAATGAGATGAAACAACCATTTTTTCCCCAGAAGAATGTAAAACTCTGTCCCTTTAGCCATGTGCTTGATCACATCCGTAACTGGACCAGTAAAAGACTATTTCTCAGTTGTCTGTAGACATGTTCTTTAATTTATTTTAAATTTTCGGGATCTGAGAATTTGTCACCTCTCCAGTTTGCCTTTGACCTTTAATTCGCATCATAATTATTATGACAGCATGAAAATAACTACTGGAAGAAATTCAAGACATGTAATAAAATTCTGCGTTAAGATATTGCGATGCCCCTTATTCATTGAATATACAAATTGATTCAATGTTCAATATTGAGTTTGAAGCCAGACATTTTTAAAAGGGACCTTATTGAATTTTAGTTATGAATATTTCAGTGCAGTGACCCAAGGTGATAATGGTGGTGCATGGTAAGGTCAGTTGTAAAGTTCTTGGGATGTAGGTCAGTAATTCTTCACATATTGTTGTCACTGGTGTGTATGTTGTTCTACATCGTCTACAGTTGTACCATTGTGTCTACAGCTGTTCAGCTAGGCTTCTTGAGTGGTCCTACAAGACAACTAATGATTGTACAAGTAACATAATATTGTTTTGTTGCATTGAAGAAAAATAAAAATCAAACATGCTGAAAACTGTGTGTGTTATTTATGAATGTGTACTAGGGTAGTGGATCAAGCACATGCACTCAGTCCTAGGTTTGCATCCTTGGTGCCTGGGAACAATGTCTGAAGACATTACTTATATCCTCCAGCCTGAGAAAGTTTCAGTTTTTCTAAAAGTATGTAAAAATATACTACTTATGGAAGATTTAAATACTGCTAAAAAAACTTAATAACCACCAGAGAAACTGATGCACCGTGTGATACACACTTAAGCACTTAGCGGTAAGTTGTGCTGGGGAGGTGGGGACCTTGATCAGTTGTAGTCACAACAGCCAACATACAGATTGCTGGGGCCTCCATTCTTATTGGACCTGTCAGTGAAAGAATGGTTACTTCAGGGCTTGTGATATGTATTGATATGTGGGTAGGAATATTTAGACAACCTTGATAAAATTATGTATTACATGTCAACAATTTGTGGGGATTTTTGGTTAGAACAGATCCCCACCAACTAATTCTCGTCCTTTGTCACAGCTCATTGGATCGTGTCGTCAAACTTGTAGATTGCATGCTATTGTACAGCCTTAACATTATGTGAAATTGCTAAGATAATATCAGTCACTGATCTATCAGATCCAGATCCCAGATTCTATCATACAGCTCTTAACTTTCATTATGACTGGTTTGTTAGATCCAGACCCCATTCTATCATACAGCTCTTAACATTATGACTGGTTTGTTAGATCCATTCCCATTCTATCAAACAGCTCTTAAGATTGTGACTATTTGTCTGATTTAGACAAACCCATTCTAACATTCAACTCTTAACATTATGACTGGTTTGTAGATCCAGATCCAGACCCATTCTATCATACAGCTCTTAACATTATGACTGGTTTGTCTAGGCCAGACCCCATTCTGTCATACAGCTCTTAACGTTAAGACTGTATTTTTTATTTTAGAGATCCACCCCATTCTGTCATACAGCTCTTAACATTATGACTGTATTTTTTATTTATTAGATCCACACCCCATTCTGTCATACAGCTCTTAACATTATGACTGTATTTTTTATTTATTAGATCCACACCCCATTCTGTCATACAGCTCTTAACCTTAAGACTGTATTTATTTATTTTAGATCATACAGCTCCCATTTCTATCAGACAGCTCTTAACATTATGACTGGTTTGATTAGATCAGATTTAGACCCCCCATTCTATCATGACAGCTCTGTCATACAGCATTATGACTGGTTTGTTAGATCCAGATTCTGTCATGCAGCCATTCTATTTATTTTTTCATTCATACAGCTCTTAACATTATGACTGGTTTTGTCAGATCAGACTCCATTCTATCACAGCTCTTAACAGCTCTTTAGATCCATGACATCAGACCCCATTTTCATACAGCTCTTAAGATTATGACCATTCTGTAGATCCAGCTCTTAACATTATGACTATACAGCTCTTATCTGGGCCAGACTCCATTCTATCATACAGCTCTTAACATTATGATCCAGACTTGCTGGAATATTAACATTATGAAATGGTTTGTTAGATCCAGACCCCATTCTATCAGACCCCATTCAGCTCTTAACATTATGACTGGTTTATCTGGGCCAGACCCCAGACCCCAGCTCTATCATACTGGCTCTAGATCCAGACTCCATTCTTATTCAGCTTATCATTGGTTTATCTGGGTTAGATCCAAACCCCATTCTATCATACAGCTCTTAACCTTATGACTGGTTTGTTAGATCCAGACCCCATTCTATCATACAGCTCTTAACCTTATGACTGGTTTGTAAGATCCAGACCCCATTCTGTCATACAGCTCTTAACATTATGACTGGTTTATCTGGGCCAGACTCCATTCTGTCATACAGCTCTTAACATTATGACTGGTTTATCTGGGCCAGACCCCATTCTATCATACAGCTCTTAACCTTATGACTGGTTTTTATCAGACCCCAGGCCCATACATTCTGCCATACAGCTCTGCCATACAGCTTAAGACTGGTTTATCTGGGCCAGACCCCATTCTGTCATACAGCTCTTAACCTTAAGACTGGTTTATCTGGACCAGACACCATTCTGTCATACAGCTCTTAACCTTAAGACTGGTTTATCTGGACCAGACACCATTCTGTCATACAGCTCTTAACCTTAAGACTGGTTTATCTGGGCCAGACCCCATTCTGTCATACAGCTCTTAACCTTAAGACTGGTTTATCTGGGCCAGACCCCATTCTGTCATACAGCTCTTAACCTTAAGACTGGTTTATCTGGGCCAGACCCCATTCTGTCATACAGCTCTTAACCTTAAGACTGGTTTATCTGGGCCAGACCCCATTCTGTCATACAGCTCTTAACCTTAAGACTGGTTTATCTGGGCCAGACCCCATTCTATCATACAGGTCTTATCATTATGATTGTTTTTTTAGATCCAGACCCCATTCTATCATACAGCTCTTAACATTATGACTGGTTTGTTATATCCAGACCCCATTCTATCATACAGCTCTTAACAATATGACTTCTTTGTCAGATCCAACATTGTAGCAGTCTGTTGGTCACTCTCACCAAATGTATGAAATCTCATTATTCTGCTCGGCACACGAAAATTGTATCTTGAGTCCAAAATAACATGGTTCGAAAGAAACATCTGTTTCCTGTTCAGAAACGATTAATAGAACTACACACGTATCAATCCGGGCATATACAGATATTAAACAGATATTAAACCCGCCTAATTGACAAGGTTGGTCACATTGTTCTATCGGGAGAAGAGCATGTACTATCTCATTGTTTCACCTTTGAGCATTAGTCCAGCTGACAAGTGAATGGCCAGCACATGCCTGATAACGGTGATCCCTGAGCGATATCTCACGATGTAATCCTATTTCGGCGTGAAATCCGGTTCAGGTTACAGTAACATTCATCGAGGAAGAGGGGTCAGAGTCAATGATAGAGGGAAAACATGGGCGCGAAGGAGTGCATCAGAACTGCCATCGCCTTTTCGATTGGATGCTTCCTGTCAATTTTCGTGTTGATACGGATGGTTATAGTCATCCTGAAATCTCGGGGGAGGGTATCATGGAAAAGACATGACATGCCGGACTGCCTGCGTGACCCAGCTTTGGGGACTCACAACTACGCACATCTCGAGGTGAGTGCATGCTTCAGTTGCGGGTTGTCGTAACAATGAGCCGGCCCGGTGTGTTTACGACAGACTTGTTCGGTTATAAAGAACCGCAGGGGATTATTCGAAAATCGCAGCACCCGTCGTCTGTTGTGGTCTATACCCACGCCCAATTTTAAGCAAGTTCAAACTTGACATTTTGCAGCCTTCCTTTTATCAGAGACCATATTTATATATTCCCTAGTATAATAAGCGAAGACTAAAATGTAGGTGTATTGGCGTCTAAAGATATCTACTAAGTAAAGATACCAAAGACTTGATGGAACATACGGACACATGGCTAACTAGTATTGAATGACTTCCGATTCTGAACATACACAAATATTTAACAAAAAAAGATTGACTTTAGTCAGTTTCGGACCAAACACTTTTCATTGGATAGAAACATTCCACAGTGACATAGAATAGAGGGTGTTTGGCAATGGATTTGCCTCATGATCTTTGATAACAGGACAAGGATGCCGTCAAGGTGACCTCATAGCTCCTTACATGTTTTTACTTTGTGTAAATTTTTTAGATATAATGATGCTGAAAAATACAAAAAGCGAATTGATTAGGGAAATTAGCATTTTCATTAACCCAATTCGCCAATGACATAACGCTTACACTAGACCAGGGCTCCAGACAATTTTTCAACATCATGGGTACGTACTCCACATTTTTTCACTACAGGAGTACTGGAAAACCTTAAGAGTACATTATTGTTTCGTTTCATATATGCACCACAGCATTGATAGTCTTGTGTAAGCAGGTCAATAAACAATAAACCAATAGTTTTCTTCAGATAAATACGTCTGTAAATGATTCTAAGACCGTACACTATTGCTGTGGTGCGTACCTGCTACGTTTTCTAAATTATTTGCTACCGTATTGTGCATACTTTTTATCGGTACTAACGCCGATACGGCCCTTATCTGGGGCCCTGCTAGGCAGAACTGTATAATGGTTTAGTTGGTTTCCGATTAAGGGTAAATGTGGACTAAGCAAAATTATTCTATAAAGAGAACAAGATATAAGATGTGCAAAGAAGGAAATTTTGATTTGTCAACAAATAGAAAATACACTTCAGGGGTTGTGTTTTGATATTGATCGAGGCTCTGTGAAAGACGAACGAAAGTCAAAAATTGTAAAATGGGTGGATACGTGGTCTGGCCGAAACTCATTGGGCTGGACAAATTTCGAACTACTACTAGTTATCTCCCCTAACAGCACGTCCGCCTCCACTATGTTGCTGCCGGGGATGAGGACAAGCCGTTGATGTTGATGATACACGGATTTCCCGAATTCTGGTTTTCGTGGCGTTATCAGATAAAAGAATTCAAGAAATACTACAGGTTGGTTCCACAAAACAGAACAGAAACTAACCAAAGAATTTTTATATCGATGCAATCACCGGATTCAAACAGACATTCTTAAAACCAAATCATCTTTCATCTCAACTCATCTCACGCACAATGTTATGCTTTTTTACTTACCATATTTATATAAAAAAATGCTTATGGTTATTTTGTACGCTGCTAGCATGAAACCTCTTTAGTTTTGATATCTTATTACTAGCACTGGCTCTCAACATTCTACAATGAATGTAGACTAACAACTAGTCTCTGAAATGAACATATTTTACTGTTGTTCATAGTAAAAAAAAAATATAATGAAAAACACTTTCTTCCTAGACTTGCGTGCTTTCTTTTACTTCAGGGTATGTACGAGAGACTACAATGAATGCTGTTGTTTGGTTAAATTCCTTTGTTTACTTTTCTTGAAACGTCTCTGAATGTTGCACGCAACATTGTTTCACCACTCGTCTACGCCACTCGCCGATTCTTTAAGTAGCATCGCGATGGTAGCAAGTCACTGCCTAACTGAAATATTAGCTATGTTTGCGATATTTTCTCTCTCGCTAAAATATTTTAACTATTTCCTACCTAGAGTGGTTGCCATCGACCAACGTGGGTATTCGGAGTCGGATGCGCCCTCTGGTGTCAACAGCTACAACGTTGGTGAATTGGCTAATGACATCAAACAGCTCGTACCAGCTCTAGGTAGGTAAAAGGTTGTATCTAGGCCATTGCTGTAAATGGTAGAATTGAAGGACATTGGTGTCCCAATCATTATAGGTGCCACATTTTACTTAAAGAATCGCGTCCTTTGCTTAAGAAGCCTATATCATCGTGGATATCAGACAACACAGTAAATTGATACCCCTGATATGAATGAAGTACTTTTAAAAGCGTGTTATACCCAACTCCTCTTTGACACTTGACTTTACTTGTCTGGCCTACGATCAAGTTTGCATTTGCTTCTTTGGGAATAGCAACTACACTGCATATCTGTCCAATTTCTTCACTGGAAATGAAGGATACTAGTACATACAGAGCCTGGGAAGTATTGACGAAGACCTATTTCTTGGGTCATCGTGTGCTATTGTTATGTCCCTTCGATACTTGCGTGAAATAGACCAAGCGGACTATCTACTTCATTGACTTCTGAAAGTCCGTAACTGGTCACCAGGATCTTGTATTTTGATTTGTAACTGCAGGCTACAAGTCGTGTGTGTTGGTGGGCCATGACTGGGGTGGAGCTGCAGCGTGGACTGTGGCCGGACTCTACCCTGAGCTGGTGGAAAAGCTGATCATCATGAACTGCCCGCACCCACTGTCCTTCAGGAAATACGTCGCCACACACATGGCCCAGTTCAAGAAGTCTTGGTACGTTTTGCGTGTGGTATGCGTTAACTTGCTGCGCGTTAACCTGCTGCATGCACTGATATGCCTAACAAGAATATTCTTACAGTTTGGGTCACTATGTTGGTTGTAAAGATGTTTCTATTTCTCCCAGAAATGTCAAAGAGCTTGTGTCCGTTTTTTTCTATTCCGGTTAGTGCTCGTTCTTCCTCCTGTACATACTTCTTCCCGTGGGTATACATTCTTCTACTGTACACGAAGGTACGCTGTCTTCTTCCCGTACATGGGGCGGTGGGGTAGCCTAGTGGTTAAAGCGTTCGCTGTACACGCCGAAGACCTGGGTTTGATTCCCCTCATTTTTCTAGAGTTTTATTTTATTTACGTTTTTAGGCCACAGGCCCACAGTACAAAACATTTCAATATTGTGATTACAAATGGAGTGATTCATACAATTTCAAAGCAAAATATATGTATTTAGACAAATTCACAGAAGTAAGTTGATGATTTGAGGACATAAGTCGAACAAATGTTTCAAATGAGGGGTTACTGTAGTATTTGTACTCAATATACTGCTTTCTTAAGTCGGTGAAGGCACAGCAGACAAGGATAAAATGGTACTCGTTTTCGACAAGCTGGATGTTATATCGAAGGCAGTATCTACATAAACGGTTCTCGATGTCTATGCCCAAACGTCTCCCCATTTCGATCATTAGCTGGTGGCAGCCACATCTGAATCTAGTTAACGCTTGCTTCAATGGCGGGGAACTGATTTGTGAGAGATAGGATTCCGCATGCAGAACTGTTTTGTAAGATGAATAAGCTGTCAACTTGGAGTTAGATGCTATTGAAGCCTGCCATCGTTGAATGTTGTAGTCAGACACTCTTTGTTTGAACTCAGACATGAAAATATCAATATGTCCAATATCTTGCATAACCCAAGCGTACCCGAATCCAAACTGGAATAGAATATGTTTGATTTTTGTGGCCCAAGAAGATCTGTTGACGTTGTCTAATCCATATAGCATAAGATAGGTTTGCTTCGGTAATCTGTCGTTATTCATGTTGATTATTTTTGCCCAATATTTAACACATTTATTTACATAAGAAACATATAATAGAGGTCGTCCACTTATTTCGCCGAGCACCGCATCATTGCAGGTTGTCAAGGGCAGATGTAAATTCGTTTAATGAACCTTTGTCTGTACCCTCTCAATTTGTTCTACCACCTCATATCCCCAGAGCTCGGCGCCGTATGTAAGTATTGGAATGACCATACTGTCGAAAATCCTCATTGCAGTGGTGATCTGTAATTCGCCACACATATAGTGAAGTCTGTATATGTGTAGACATACTTTCTCCGCCTGCTGTGCTAACACCTGTCTCGATCTTGTGTCCACACTAGTTTGGGTGTAAAATGAAGTCCGAGATACTTATAATACGAGACAGTTTCTATTTGGGATCCTATGTAGTACCATTTTTCATATGAACGTAAATATCCACCTTTTTCGGAATACAACGATTTTGGATTTCTGCATATTCAACGTCAATCCCCATTTTGTACAAAAATTACTGACACAATTGATTTGGTCCTGTAGTTTTCCGGCAGAGTCCGCGGCGTTAGCAACACATCATCGGCGTAGAGCAATGAACATACATTAGGGAATTCCTCTGATATAAATATTCCTTTACAGTTAGACGTTGACATCTCAGTGACTAGTTCGTTGATGTATAAAATGAACAACAGTGGACTGACCATGCAACCTTGGCGTGTACCAATACAGCACTGAAAAAATCCGTAAGCCCTTTATCTGTACGGACACGACTGAAGCTTAGAGTACATATTCCTTAAAACTTTCAAGATGTTCCCATGTATTCCATATTTGATAAGCCGATGCCACAGTAATGTATGATTGACGCTATCGAAAGCCTTAGAGAAGTCAATAAAGAAGACGTACATTCTCCCTCCAGTTGATTTAGACAAGTATTTCGCGATCATACCGTAGAGAGAGAACATGTTGTCAACTGTACTATACCCTTTCCTAAAACCTGACTGATTCTCATGAATGATGTTGTTTTCTGTGATCCATTGTTGAAGTCGTTGATTTAATATTTTAGTGAAAATCTTTCCAATTACCGGCAGGAGCGAGATTCCTCTGTAATTATTTGGATCGGATAAGGAACCATTCTTGTGTAGTGGACAGATAATAGCTTTGCACCATGTCATTGGGAAATTGCCAGTTGCCAATATTTCATTAAAAAGGTATGTCAGACTAGCTGAAATGT